GATGCGGGGCTCGATCCCAGGACCCTGAGATCATGACCCGAGCCGAAGGCAGAGGCTTTAACCCACTGAGCCACCCAGGCGCCCCACGATTTACTTTTTTTTCTCTGCATCTCTTCCTTTAGTTTGGCATTCATAGGCATGTGAAATAAAAATTATATTTTATACTTAGACATTGTATAGTTATTTGTTGCCACATAACAAAACTTAGCTTTAAACACTAGCATCTCACATAGTTTCTGATGGTCAGGAATCCATGAGCAGTTTAGCTGGATGGCCCCATCTCAGTCTCTCATGAGTTTACAGTCAAGCTGTAGGCTGGGTTTCAGTCATCTGAAGACTTGACAATAGCTAAAGGATTAGCTTTATAGAAAATTCACCCACAGGACTGTTGGCTGCAGTCCTCTATTCCTCTGGCTGTTGGCAAAAGACCTCAGTTCCTCACTACATAGACTACTTCTCCAGAGGGCTGCTTGAATGTCCTTTTGACATGGCAACTGGCTTTCCCTAGAGCATGTAATCCAAGAGATAGCCCAACCAAGACAGAAGCTACAATATCTTTATCACTTAATCCCAGAAGTGGCATCACTTTGCTGCTGCCATATTGTATTGGTCCCACAGACCAAGCCTGGTGTGTTGAGAGAAGAATGTGCTAAAACTATCTGTTACCTTTGCGTTTGTTGCCAGAGCTTGAAGTTCACAATGCAGGGAGTCAGGAAGGGAAGACAGAGGAGATTCATGATGAGCTGGAACGCAGAAGCACAGGCCATGTTCATGAGCCCACTTGAAACCACAGGTAGCTCTTGCTGCCTCTGATTCTGATGGTATGGATGTCCCACATGAGTCAGGGTCCTTCCTTACGGAGTTAACCCACACTTGACTCTAGAGTCAGAACTCAAGGGAAGATCCAGCAAAAGATAGAGCAGTTTGCCCTACCTGGCTTTCTGGACTGGTCAGTGTCGCAGGCCAGTTAGGTGAACGAGCAGACAAGCAACAGTACAGGAGCCACAAAGTGACAACTGTGTCAGGTTGTATAAACCTCACATGAGAATCTCTTTTGTGACTAATGATGTACTAGATCCTGGCTAACCAAACATAGTATAAGAATAAATAAATAAAAATTTAAATAAATAAATAAATATCTCTTTTGTGGCCCACCCCAGCCAGAAACAGACATAACAGGGAATTCCAGGAAAAGTAGGTTGACAGATTGCAAAGCCACCAAGCACACACATGTACTATTATATGTAAAGAGTGGACTAGACAAAAGAAGCAATTGAAATCTTGCACTTATTTTGCAGCCCAATACATTTTTAAAACTTTTTGAAGCCATTGTGTCTTTCAAGTCATCTAGTAAGGGCTCTTTTAAGAATTTTCCAAAAATGAAGGTTTGTTTTTATTTCCTAAATTCTTATTCCTCTCTTTATTGGAATCCTCGAGGGCCGGTAAGTATGAGTTTATCATTGTGTGGTGCCAGCAGAAAAAAAATTTATATTCTCACTGGAATTAACCTTAAAAGATATGACACAGAACCCCATCAAAACCAGCACATTCTGATAGATGCAGTTCACTAACTTGTCTTTCTAGTTTTCAGGTCATAATTATTATTAATCCTGTTAGTATCATTTATTAACAAGATAAGGAAACATGTTCATTCTCTTTTGCTCTCCATCTCATTTTCATATACACAAACATGTGCTCAGGCATTTTGCTGCCCTGACCGGTTATTTTAATATGAGAATAATA